GCTTTTTACATTTCCCAGCTTCCAAACAACGCGGTTGCACTTGACTCTAATCCCAAAATGCTTTAATGGTGGTTTATTTTATAAAAGTACATGTAATAATATGTATAATAAAAAATATGGCTTGTTCTCGCTCTGGAGAGCTGCGCGGGCTCAGTGCAGGGGGAGCGAGGGAGAGGAGGGTGCAGGGGGGTGGCAAAGGGGTCTGGGGGTCCCTGTGGCATCCCTGGGGGTGTCAGGGTGCAGGGGCCACCGTCCCCACGCAGGTGGCAGGCGGCAGAGGGGACGATGATGGGGTCAGGCCCGGGGCGGTGATGGATGAGGCTTGGCCAGGGGCTCACGTCTCCACTGAGCTCCGGATGATTCATCGCTCGTCGCAATGGGATCAGGGTCTGGGTGAAAACTGAGGGAGAATTTGGGAACAGGCACCTGGATCCAGCACAGAGCCCCGGGAACCCAACACACCCCACACCAAGCACCCCGAAATGTGGGGCTCAAGGGGGCCTGGCTCCTGGGAGCATTGGGGCTGAGCACAGCCTGGGGTCTGGCCAAGGGCTTTGACCCCCAAATGTCCCCGTACACCCCAGGTGGGCTCTGCTCCGTGTCACTAATCCATCTGTCATTAATCTGTGTCATTAATCCATCTGTCACCGGGCGAGATAATATTGATGCAGCCATTAAAGCATGAGGAGAACAACACATGGGGTCCTGCTCACGCGTGGTCAGTGACACCGGGACCAGGATTGTCCCCCCTGCATCTCCTCTGGGTACCACTTCCCTGCACCACCCCATCACACGGTGCTGCTGGCACCTTCTTCCACCCCAAATTCGCTTGCACCACCTTCGTCACCGGCTCCTGCGCTACCTGGGAGAGAGGAGGGAAAAACACCGAGAGCCCTTAAAATAACACACAACTGTTTAAGGATGTGAGATCCGTATTAAATCTCAGGGAAAAGGAGCAATTATCCTGTCAGAGCAGGTGATATAATTTTGGAGAGCTGGTTCCGCAGCTGTAATTTTTTCCTCACGGTTTCTCCCCTGGAGGGATTTAGTGGCCAATTATCCATCGAGGAGCGGGAGGGTGCTCGCTGCAGCCTCTGGGTGCTGCGTTCTGCTGGTATGGGTGCTGGCACTGGTGTGGGTGCTGATATGGGTACTGGTACTTGTGTGGATACTGGTGTGGGTACTGGTGTGACCGCTGGCACTGGTGTGGGTACTGGTACTGGTATGGGTGCTGATATAGGTGCTAGCACTTGTGTGGGTGCTGATACTGGTGTGGGTACTGGTACTTGTGTGGATACTGGTGTGAGTGCTGACACTGGTCTGGGTACTGATGTGGGTACTGGTATGGGTGCTGATATGTGTACTGGCACTGATGTGGGTACCAGCACTGGTGTGAGTACTGGTATGGGTGCTGGCACTGGTATGGGTGCTGGTACTGGTGCTGGTACTGGTGCGGGTGCTGGTACTGGCGTGGGTATTGGTGCAGGTGCTGATGCTGGTGCTGGTACGGTGGGTACTGGTGTGGGCACTGGTGTGGGTACTGGTACTTGTGTGGATACTGCTGTGGGTATTGGTGTAAGCGCTGACGCTGGTGTGGGCGCTGGTGTGGGTGCTGGCACTGGTGTGGGTGCTGGTGTGGGCGCTGGCACTGGTGTGGGTGCTGGTACTGGTGTTGGTACTTGTGTGGGTACTTGTGTGGGTGCTGGTGTGGGTGCTGGTACTGGTGTGGGTACTGGTGTGGGTGTTGGTGCTGGCACTGGTGTGGGTGCTGGCACTGGT